CATTTATTATTCTAGCGATATTTATACGATATTATTAGTATATTTTATTATATGTAATACTATTACTGCAAGATTACTACAATAGTACATGCTGTATAACATTATTAATATTAATATTAAGGGAGTATTCTTGTTTTTAGATGTAAGTAAAAGAAATACCGTTTTTTTATAGATTTCTAAATACGATAATACAAAGTTTAGTGTCGATGGGAAACACCATGAAAATTGATGATCCACACAGCATGTAATAAGTAGTAATCTTGCAATAATATTATATTATAAATTTGCTGTAATATTGCATGGTAATATGTCAGTAATATTGTATAAATATCGCTACAATATTAAATATCCGCGGCAAATTCATTACAGTAATATATTTGCGATATTTTTGTAATATTACTGTAATATTACTGTAATATTAGGCAATATTTCTACACATTATGCTAATATTTTGCAATATTGCGATAGTATTTCTGTACTGTGGTAATATTGCAGTAATATTACATAATATAAATAACATTACAATAATATATGTCCGCAAAAACTTTATTGCAGTAATATTTCTGCGATATTTCTACCTTAACATTATGATATATTATAATAATTAATTCAATTTTATTAATCGCTAAAAGTATTAATATTACACTCTAAAGTACATATGATGAAGTCATGATAAAAAACATTCGGAAGCCTAGAAAGCCCTTCCAAAAAAGATTGAGAATCTCCAGGAGATTCTCACCAACTTGATTTGTCGTATTCCTTCTTATACTCTCCTGGATGTTTTCTTCTTACGAATAGCGTATCCCTCTTGTGGCTAGGCTGCGTACTTATCTTTAGTAGCAATATTACAGCAATATTTCAATAATGCACAATATTATAAAAATTGCAGTGATATATTGCTGTACTATTAAAAGTATAATATTTTATTAGAAATATTGCTACAATATTGCAAAATATTGTAATTTTAATTTTATAGAAAATATTGCAATACGTTGTTGCAAAATTACAATTTAATAAATAAGTATGTGACTCCGCCACGAAAGGGATACGCTTTTCAAAAGGAGAAAATGTCCAGAAGTTCTATAAGAAGGAATGCCTTGTAGATGAATCTCCTGAGATTTCCAAATATTTTTGGATGTGCTTTCTGAGCCTCTGAATATTTTCTTATTATAACTTCATCGTATGTATTTTGGAATGTAATGCTAAGAAATATAATATATATAATATGTAGCAATTAGGTAATAAAAGTGGAGTAATTATTGAAATATTGCATAATTTTATTATGCAATATATAAAACAACGTGTAAGTAATATTTCTCTAAATTTAATCTATTGAATTGTAACGCTGCAATAGTGAATTGCAATATTTTCTACAAAATATTTTTTAATACTGTAATATATTCAATAAAATAAAAAAATTTCAATATTACAGCATTATTGCTGCAATTTTTATAATATTGCGCACTATGAAAATATTGTTACAATATAGTGTAGGTATATCATATTTTAATCCTTATATCTCAAAGATTATTGTTTAAAATAAAAATTTATAAATGAATGTTTTACTTAATTTTTTTAAATCTTCGTTACTATTATATTATATTTTGAACGGCAAATGTTGGTACATCGACTTGTATATATATTTTAATTATTTATTCCCGCATAATAAAAAAAATTAAGAACAGGGGAAAAATATTCAATATTGGAGAAATAAAAAAATTATAAATGAATATTAAAAATAATATACAATAGATACAAATAAGATATAAGACGCAATGCAACTTATTTGTGTTCATTGTGAGTTATGTTCAATCTATATTCCTAATTTTTTTACATTTAATATTTAATATTTATTCAATAATAAAAAAAAGTTAAAACATAATATTATTTATATCTTAAAAAGACGACACTGCGATAAAATGCATTCTAATATTTCAACGCTGTTGCAATAATATTGCAATGTGATAAACTATAATGTAATTGAATTGCAGTAGTATTACAATGCGATATTTGAACAATATTGCGATAATACTATTTTGCGGTATGTCGTGTTGCAATATTTAAACAATATTGTAGTAATATTTTAGTGCAATGTATCATATTGCAATTGGACGATATTATAATAATATTTCAATGTGATATATCATATTGCAATATTTGGTCGATATTGCAGTAACACTGTATTGTGATATTTTTCACTGTAATATTTGAACGATATTCCCACAGCAAGTCGAAAGTTTTCAGAAATATCTCAGAAATTTTTCAGCTGAAGAATGAAATATTTTAAATAAAAATTGCAAAATATGTCTGCAGCCAAGACTCTGGAATAGCAAAATGTCCGCAATTCTTGTACATGAAACCTTGTTAAAAAGTTGATGAAATGTTACAGAAAAAATTTAAAATCTTTTTGAAATCTTATTAAAAAAGTTTTATTGTAGTTATTTCAGCTGAACTATTACACACACACACACACACACATACACACATTCTCTCTCTCTCTCTCTCTCTCTCTCTCTCTCTCTCTCTCTCTCTGTTAGCTAATACTTCAAAAATATTTAAATATATACTTGATTGACTTAAATTTATTATGCTACATAAAAATGAAAATAAGAAATACAATCATCAATGGCCTTGATTTTGAAAAATAAATTTTAATATTATTTAAGTATTAATTAAATCCATACAGCACCGATTATTGTGGAAAATTTTCAGAAATGTTTCAACCTTTCACGTGTTATGTGCAACAATTCTGAAAGGATTCTGCAATATATCATATGAAGTGTTTCAACAGAAGTGTTTCTAAAATTTATCATATGCAATAAATTGGAAAACATATTTAAACAGAATAAAAAATCATCATGATGCCGGCGATATTGTAACTTTTCTCATAACACGAAAAGTACTTAAAGAAAAATATTTTATTATAATGTTTTGAAAAACTCTCTAGATAAGCTACAAGTGTATGAGAAAAAAGAATGAGGGATTTCTTTTAAGAAAACAACGGTTATATTAACCTTCAGAAGGTCACTCAAGGTCAAATCCATATTTTCATCATATGTCCCCCTTAATGTCCTATAACTTTTGTCTGAAACATTTTTCCATAGCTAAAGCCATTTCCGATATATATGACTTGAGTGAGATTTTATAGACCTGTATACATATAAAAATTATGTGAATAAAATTACTTACTTTTGTTAGTAACACTTTTTTACAGTTTATTTATTTTATTTTTTTTATTTTTATTGTTAAAACTAAAAACTTAAAATTATTGTTAAAAAACTATTTAAAAATTTACACTAAACATAAATAAGAAAAAGCAAGATACAGCCACATATAAAAGTTGTTTTTCGCACAAATCATGTATTAAAATTAATTACATATATCATAGAAATATTTCAACTGAAAAGTGAAACATTTCATAAAAATTGCGAAATGTCTGCAACAATTTTGAGACAGCTCTGGAATAGCAAAATGTTTGCGATTCTTGCACATGAAACCTTATTGAAAAGTTAATAAAATTATTTATAGAAAGAATCCGCAATATATATAATCTTTTGAAATATTATCAAAAAGATTTCAGTATATAGTACTATAAAAATGATATTTAAATATACTTGATTAATTACTTAAATAATATTTAAATTTATTATGTCGACATAGTTTAAATATCAAACATATATTTAAATAATTAAGTATTAAACATATATTTAAATATCATTTAAAATACATAAAATTTATTAAGACTTTTGTGATCTTTTTACAGATTAAACTTATTAAAATAAATTTAAAGTATCTCTTAAAAATAATTATTATATCGCCAATTATTTTGATTAATTAATCATATTATATGTCTAAAAGCATATATACATAATAAAAAATTACGTATTAAAAAAAATCACACCTGCAGTTTCCACAATCATTATTCAAATAATGCGAAAATTTTTCGCAATTAAAGCAGAACAAGTCATCCATATACAAAAATCTTTCGTTAATTAAAAGTAAAGCAACTCATAATAACCTCAAAATGACATTAAATTGATAAAAAATGATTTTTTATACATTTTGGAGCGATTTTAACACCATGATGATTTTTTGTTCTATTTAAATGTTTTTCAATTTATTGCATGATAAATTTTAGAAACATTTCTGTTAAAATATTTCATATAACATATTACAGAGTTTTTTCAGAATTGTTGCACATGAGATCTAAAAGGTTGAAACATTTGTGAAAATTTTTCGCAACAATCGATGCTGTATGGGTTGTAGCAATATTGCAGAATGATATCACATTGTAATATCTCAACAAAATTATTGCAATATTACATTGTGATATATCGCAATGTAATATCTCAATAATATCTCAGTAAAGTTATGTAATATTGCATTGCAATATTACATAACTATATTACAATATTGTAATCTCACTGTAATATTATTGCAAT